TAAGCCTGAGAAGAATTCATTCATACTGTGAACAGTTTCACCACTCAACTATGCTTACCGGTAAGAGTTTGAAAAGTATTTCTATGAGAGCTATTTCATCTTCTGGAGAACCGTGATCTCTCAGTATCTGTAATTTTTGACTAACAGCATTCCCATTATCTTTGAGGGTCACAGGTAGCCTGGGAGAAGGTCCAGGTCTTTCACATATGCAGCTCAGCCTAAAAATTACCACTGTGTAGTAGCTGGAGAAAGGTTTTGGAATAAGCTCAAATTGTTCTACCTGGCTTTCAATCATGCTCCCATCTACACAATTACCCACCTTGCCTGGTGAATCAATAGAGCCATGAGCATGGAATAATAAACTTGCTAAGTCTTGAACTCTGCCCACTTGCAAGTCTCAATCTTTGGGCAACTCACCTGATTAATCTTTCTGGGTCTCACTTTCCACTACAGCACAGGGCAGTATTATTTTCCCTACAGGCATGTTGAAAGAATTAAAAGTAAGCCTGGCTCACCCCAGGTAGTCCGTAAGTGTCAGCTACATAAATCTAAAACACCCAAGAGTACTCAGATTCTGCACCTTGAGCACTCAATTTAGAGACGTGATTTTTCTTGGAGCAGGGAGCCTATGGGAACTGGGCGAAGTGAGACAGCCAAAGGCCTTTTCAACTGTTAAGAATTCTTCCCTAAAGAAAATACTTTGTCGACCAAAATACATTATGTGAACAATAATTTTTAATTCAACTTGTTAATATGTTGTTTAGGATATCGCATTCTCATTTATAAGTGAAATATGTTTGTAATTTCCCTTTATAATAATATTTTTTCCCAATTTTAATATCAGGTGTATCTAGATGAAGTAGAATGATTTTGAAGTATCTCTTCTTTTTCTATGGTCTATAAGATTTGGCATGATCTTTTTTTTGAAATTATCTTTTAGTTTTATTTATAAATATTAGTTGTCTATTTTTTGAGACTTTGGGAAAAAAATAATAAGTTAACTGATGACGCCATACTGAACCTCACAGTCAAAATGTTCTATGATAGACATACTCTTATTTGACGATGTGAACGTTACTTTCTTTGCATTATTATTATTGCTCAATTTAAAAAAAGAAAATATTTTGTAAATGCGTCAGCAGAACTCAAAAATGCCCACAGACAATTAGGTTAGGGATACTAGGTACTCTTCCTTGGTTCTTGGCTCCCAGGGCCAAAGAATGAGCATTGGTGCCTAGCTGATGACTGAGTGATCACGAACACAAAGAAATCACAGTCTCACACACACACACACACACACACACACATATATATACACATGTATATATGTATGTATATACACATTTATTGCAGAACAAAGCAAACGACAAGGTGAATACTCTCAACGAGTGAGAACCTAAAGTTAGAGCACACACTATCTTTTCTATGTAACTAGTTTGTCCCACTTTTCCTCCTCCCAAGTTTGGCTGTGGCCTCCAACCCTTTGGTGTAATTGACAGGTTGAGGTCACACAACAAACCCCCTAATACTACAGTCTCCCCCAACCTTAGAGAAACTGGGTGTCAAAATTTGTGATTTTAATTACGGTAGAACCTCTGTAAATTGACCACCCAAGGGACCTTTAATTACGGTAGAACCTCTGTAAATTGACAACCTAGTCAGCATATGGAGGAGTCCACATAAGGAAGCAGGCCTGCTGTACTGGTGCCTACAAATTAGGTCAACCTAAGGAGGTGGCCAATGTAAGAAGGCGGTCAACCGAAAATGAGCCCAGGCGAGTTTCACAAGAGACCAGTCCCTAGCCATAACTTGCTTCCTGCTCTCTGCCCCCGCCCCGCCCCCCTCGCTGTCCCTAGCCACTTAGCCACTTCCCTTCGTCCTGTCAAAGAGAAGAGCTGCGGTGACAAAACAGCACACACACACACACCCAGGAGGAGAGATGCCAGGGAGAGGCGACATGCCTCTCTTCACACCAGGAGGCCAGAGTTGCACATCTCCCCCACAGACAGCAGCCCTGGAGAGCAGGGACCGCGGGCGTCCAAGACCCAAGCGAGGGCCTATTCAGCGTGAGCCTGGCCTCGCTCAATGCGCTCGGCCGAGGAACCGCTACGCGCACATCCGGCTGCATCTCCGCGGGGAACTTGTAGGTGGCCCCGAAGCCCGGCCAGCACATTGGACATGGAAAAGTTTGTTTAAAACATCCCAGAAATCATTTCTGATCCCCAGGCGTCCGTAAACTTTCCACTGGGGGTGAATAGCGTGTTTATTTTTAAGCACACGCCCCCCGATTGTTACTCCACCTCCCGTCTCTTAGGCAGGGTCTGTCTATTAGGCGCTCACGGCGGGCCCTTGGAGCCCTGGGGTAGAGCCTCGGGCCGATTCCCCCGCAGGGCGCCCAGTGCCCTGGCCCCTGCAGGATTAGCATAGTCGCGGTGTTTACGTGACACTCTGCCGCTTTCCTACTCGGAAGGACACCGGGAGCAGCCGGAGCCTCCAGCTCCACGTTTGCCGAAGACCTGCCCGGCCCAAAGTGCACCCCACGGCTAGCTCTTCCCTGCGGCGCCTGGTCTCGGAGCTCTGCCACCGGCCGCCAGCGTCCTCCAGGCCCCTCGCCTCGCCTCCGCCCCGCCTAGCCCCGAGGTCCTGCCTCTCCTCGCCGCGGCCCGCGGAGCCCCGGCCCCGCCCCCGCACTTTCGCCCCGCCCCTAGCCCCGCCTCTCACCCCGGCCTGTCCGGGGTTGAGATGGCGTGTGCGTTGGTCAGAGTGGCCCGCTGCTGGTGTCCGAGGTAAGCTTGGAGTCCAGGCCTGCCGGCGCAGGGTCACCCACGGACTCCTCTCTCTGGGTGAGGGTGTCCGCCCTTGAGAGCTTCCCTCTCGGTTTTCTTGTCTGGGTGGCAACAGGATTTTACTTTAATGATTTCCCAGCGAGGGAGGACTCAAGTATGACCTTCTC